TGTTGGCACAATATTCACCATCAAGGTAGGGCCAATCAATGAAATGTAATTCTCACAGTAGAAGATTAATTAATCAGTTGTTCCTTAAAATGGTTAAGGAAAAGAAGGGAAGTTGCCACAAGGCACAAGCCTTTGCTAGAGGTTACTTACACTACAAGATAGTAAAGGAGGAAGTAAGAACTAAACACTACCTTAAAATTTACACTGCAGAATGCGTTGATTTATAAGATTTCTTCACTTTTCATAATAAGTGCTCTGAATAGGAGACTAACACACCTCACCATTCTCGGCCAATTCCTCAAAGTGAGTAATCATGTCTTCGAGTTGAGAAAACTGAGTCAAATACTTAGCATGTAGTTCATTTGTTTCGTATTGATTAAGCTTCCACTGAGAAAGACCGTCGCCGATAATCTTCAAACCGCTTTTCAGCATTTCCACCCCTCTGCTAATTTCGTCGGGAAGTTTCCTTTTTTTATTGAATTGGTTCTTATCAACGTCAACTTCCATGATCTCACATCCCTCTTTCTCTTTAGCAATCATTGAAATCTTATGGACCATCTGTTTCAATATTAGACCATCTCTTCCTAGCTGCTCATCACGGTTTGGTGCAAATGAAATAGCGACTTCCTTATTAAGAAATTTTTTAAACTCAAGCATAAATCTCTCTTTATTTGCTTCCACTCCTGAAACTAAATCATATGAAAGTGCTGCATCCTGTGGAACAAATCTCCATAGCTGATTGCACTTAGTACGAGCAGCAAAATATCCAAATGCTGTTAATGCCAAGTGAATGAATGCCCAGTGCCGCTCTTTTAAGAGCAAGTGATATAATTCCCATGCAGCACAGCTCTTTGCATCATCATCACTTTCTGACATTTCCATGTGTATAAGTCCTGTCATGAAATGAGCCAAATTTGGTTTACAATTGTACAAAAGGGCTGGAGGCTCAGAGATAAAGATATTTTCTATCTTTGTGATGGCTTGTTCGATATCATTTGATGTGTAGAGGTGTTTCAAATTTGAAATGATCTCTAGAGTTTCACTGAAAAGCCGAAGACATTGGTCCTTGATTACTTTGTCTGAAGTACCTTTGTAGGAATTAGTAATCAAAACCAAAAACTTCAAGGTCTTTGCATCAATATCAGATAGCTGAACCGGGCTGTAAAAAATTACAACACTAACTTAATGCAAGCAAAAATGGAATATTTTGGTTCAGTGCAAGAAAAGGAAATATTTGTTAACTAGAAATTAGGTTGAAATGAAAGAAAGTTCCAATACACCGATAAAACAATCAAATCAAATTGAAACATGCGTGTGAGGGATGAAATGCATGCAAGTTATGTATGCAGACTGTACAATTAACAATAGAAAAGAGATCAACACAGATTAATAGCTAAAATAGTATTGCATGTTATTGTTATACATGTTAATGAAGTTTATATATATTTTCATTTTGGCTTATAATAACCGAATTTTGGATGGAATGTATCTGAACCAAATACTTACAGTGATTTCAAAGAAGCAGAAAGAATAAAAACTGGAATGCCAGCCAAACCAGAAGGGCATGCCACCAATGATGCTTCATCAAAGTTGTCTATGAAATCAAAATAATCAGACATAATTCTTTGACCCAAAGTGTTTCTCAACTCATCGGTCAGTAAATCAAGTGGGAAACCTTCAATGAACAAAGCCAGACACATAATTAAAGACAACTGTGATCTCCCATCACCAACAAGAGAAATGTACACCTGGTTAACCATTGATTGTGGACCGTAGGTCAGAAGCAAGCAGATTGATCTTGCCAACTTTCTAAAAGGAGAATAACAATGGAAAACAGATTCCATGGATGCCAGCTGCTTAAGTAATGAACATAGTTTGCTAATTATGCTATTTGCCATATGTGATTCAGCACGTCGAATCAAAAAGCACCAGCATTCCATTACAATCTCCCAGCAAAGAAAGTGAGGATGAAAGAAGTTCTCAAGTAAAAAAGACTCCAACTCCCTCCAAGCTGTACTTGAAGAAATCACAACCATGAAGGTTTTGAATGCTTGCAAGAGTGAAGTAAACATAGGCTGCCATACCAGTTCTGTTGTTTTTCCAGAACCACACAATAAAGGCAGTTGCAAAACAAGCATGTGTGAATATACATCTTCCTGGACTAAAATATCCAAAAACCAATGAAGCTTTGGAGTTATTGCTACTTTCACATCTTCATCAAACACATGAGAATATCTAAGGAAGTTAATAAACAATGCAACTCGACCTATTATTAGTACTCTTGCTCTGCTCATGCCTTCACAGGTTTTGCAAAAGACTTCATTAACCCATGCTAAGTTACAATCAGATAAGGTTGGACCATCAAGGGCAGAATGAGAATCCCCTTCACTAATGAACAACCACTCCAGTACCTCAAGCTTCTGATCCAGATTTAGTTTATCAGAATTTAGTAAAGAAAACACCAGATCCAAGGTAGTTTCCTCCAGTACCTCGGTAACTACAGCAGATACACATTTCAGAAGCTTTTCATTAATTACAAAAATCCAAAAAGATGTGATCATGAGAACACAGAGTGTAATCTCCCTGTGCACTTTATGAGCTTGATGAGGATAGAGTGAGCATATTTTAACTGCATTAATCATGTAAAATTTCACTGGCACAACAATCCTTTTAGCTTCAGTTACAGAAACGTTTTCCTTCAGTGTTGAAGACCAAGCTTCAGCAGCACATTTCAGAGGCTCAGTTATCAGTGCAAGCAAGGTTAACAGTATCTTTGCTATGTTAACTTCTGCAAAATGTCCACCACCCATTTGAAGCAAAGAGACAACTCCTTTCCAGGAAGCGTTGAGAATATTAACTGAACTGCCACCATTCTTTGCAGCAATGACACCAATCAGAGAAAGTTTTTCTATTGCACATTTTGTTATGTTGATTGCATGGCCAACATTAGTAGGCTTGTCAAGGCTCAACAGTTTGTCATCATAGGTCTCCAATTTCACTAATTCAGAACGCACCTTGCATAGTTTTATGACGGCCTCAATGATCATGTGTGAGACCTTCAATATTTCAGGTCCAAATGATTCGATTTTCTGTTTAGAGGCAAAAGAGAACTATGCTTAGGTACAGAAGCAAAATTTTGTGGAGTAAATATGAATAGGAGAAATTTCGGTCTATGTTGTAACAAGAAGCTTTACAATGATAAAACATTCCTTTAGTTGCTAATGCTGGCCCTTACACCAATTTCTTAAAACTGAAAATGCAGAATGAATATACAAACAATTCCTTAAAATGTAGAATGAATAACTTCCCCTTACCCCAATTCCCTAATACTACTTCAACTACACATAGTTGCCCCTTCAGCTGTTAACCATCCAAATCACAACAAATAACTGTCCCTGCAGTTGGTAACTACCCAAATTACTACACTTTATTTTTGTTTCTCCTACACTACAAGTATTTAGTTGCTAGCATGACACTGTGATGCAGGTTCCTATCGAATTCACAACAAAAGTTGATCAAAATTAAATCCTAAGTCATTTAGGAAACTTGTTCTCATCTCAAGTTTCATATACAAAGAGGAACACAATACCTTAGCATCCGATATAGAATCTTTAGTCACATTTAACACTTCTAAAATGAAGGTCTCAGTGACGTTCATCAGTTCTTTGTCACCAAAATTAGGAAAATTCAGCAAGGCTGACAACATTGATGCAAAAAATCTTAGAATCTCCAGAAGAAGCTGCACAAGATAAATTACATAGTTCAAGTAAAACTTGATGTCACTATGAAAATTAGCAGATGAAGTTTTCAAGAAGGCTGAAAATCATCAACTACTCGCTTTACAAATCAAAACATCTATATGGGTTATTAAAAGCAACTACATTTTCAATCAACACCACTAAACAAACCACCTCACACATGAGTAAAAAAACTGACAACAACTTGGACTGTTAATTCATACTTGAGGCTTCGGTTAAAGGAAAGAGTTCACAGCCCTGTAAAAGTGTGCTATGTCTGTAACTGATCGTCACACTTGTCCATATTATAGCTTGTCGGGATCATAGCTTGCTTTATATAGTTCTTGTCAATAATGACAAACAATGAGTGGTAATTGACCAGTATAAGACTATTCAACTTTCAGTCTTGCTGTTTTATTTCATCCTTCATTGTCCAATGTCACTTCAGATTACTCTTTGAGCATGTTGCAAACATTGGGTACTCACAAGAAATCATACAAATGATAAAATAACAAGAAACGTAATACATATTATTTCTTCTTTCCCTGTGCGCATAAGAGGAAGCTCAAATTCTATTAGATTTATCCAGTGAAGCATCTCCTAAGCAACATGATTCTTGTTAACTAGTTTCTGGTCCTGGGGAAACATAGAATACAATATTGTCTACAAAAGTTACTTTTACAGCTAGAATAAGAGAAGATTTATTCCAAATTACTAAGCAAGAGGAAATACACATTGATCAAGAACTACATAAAAATTAAATTGTGCCAAGTGAGCAGCTTTTGCTGTCTAAAGTAAGATCCCTTAGAATGACTTTTGTAAGAAGGAGGGAGAAAGAGAGAGAATAGAGAAAAACAGAGAGAGAAGAATATTCTGAAAATTGTTATTAATGAAAAACTGAATCAGTTACAAATGAGAGAGAAGGGTATTTATAGTTAGCTATTAACAAGCCTAACTAACTTATACAAAAGTATCTAACACACTCATGTCTTATTGCATTCTACACTATTCTCTGATAACTATAGACCTTGCAAATATTTGACAGTTCAGACCTTGACAAAGAACTCCTACCTGGTAAAATAAATAGCTATGTTCATCTTCCTGAGATTCTTCTGCTGACAAAAGACTCATTTTTAGATGCTTGCCAGACCAGATGCTTGCCTGATCAATGAGATAGTGTTATGATCAAATTCATAGGTGTTAAAAGTATATATGTGGACAAAGAGAAAGTAAAAACAACATGTAAGTGTAGACATACCTTGACACCAAGAGTAAGACTTTGTGGTAGACATCTAGATAGGTTAACATTTATATATTTCAAAGCCACTTGTAGAATACTTTGATTCAGCATGCACTGGGTGACATCCAAGCATGTGAAGTCCTCCCAAAATGTCAAGCTTGCAGTTAAGGTGGAAGCAATAATGCAGATAATTAATAGAGAGCTGGCATAGCTTAAAAATATAAGGACAACAAGGTCACGAGAGTTATAACGAAGAGGTTGACAAAGATGTAAATCATGATTTAAGATGGGTAGACGAAATAGATGAATTCTCCATACATTCTGTGATACAAAGGTGCCTCTACTAAGGCTCAAAGGAAAAGTTTACCAAAATGTCTCTTCATTTCATTTGTCCTGAAGTAATGAAGACAATCAGGACGAAACAAACATGGCCTGAAAAGCTACTGATTTTCAATAACATGAAATTCATTAATTGTTAAATTTTGTTCAACAGCTCACATAGGACGCTGCATTGAGCACCTTGTAAGCCTTATCAGACACAACCACCACAGACATAAATAGCTTACCTTTTCTGTACTAATTTAAAGTTATTCTACTCAATTAAAAAATAATTACAAGATAGAAAATATAAGAATATAACAAACATGTAAGAATATCCACAGATTAGACAATTTCTAAATTAACCAGCATCAGTAAATTAGCACCAATTGCATATTGAATATTCATACGAGGGTAGCATTTGGCGTCCGAGCAGAACATAATGTTCTATTTTGCTATCTTTGATTCCATCCCTTTTAGTAAAACCAAAATGTCCTGTTTTAACCTCGTTTCTTGTCCTGATCTATCCAATATCCATAAAATACATCAAATATAAAATGGAACTCATAAATCGGTACTATCCCTTTCTAACTCATCTGCAAAACACTATCTAACATTACCAGGGTGAAGAGTGTTACAAACTCAACATGCTGGAAAGTATATAATAATAACATTATAACATTAACAAAAGGATACTATGAGGCAGTTCATGACTGAAACATAGTCGAATTCAGATATATCCTTTGGGTCTATACTTCCGAGATCAGTAAACAATTGAACACGATCCTCAACAATCTGTTTCAATGCATCACACAAATCAATACTCTAATTAAACACAAATAAGTAATGCTATGTAAGAAAATATATAATAAAAAACAATGAAAAATGTTGAGAAAATTAGCGAAATAATTTCAATTGATGAATTGTAACTAGGAAAGGGTAATTTGAGAGTCCTAATCCTAGAGTGAAAATCGGTAAACAAATTAAACTTAAATAATAATTGAAAATTTTGTGAGGTAAAACCCTAGGATACGAGAAAAGAATCTCGGTGCAAAAAAGAAAGGATAATTGAAGAGGGTTGAGAAAGATAAGCTTGCCTCAGAGGATTTAATGGCTTCTAGTATCCTTTGCAAATCGGTGATGGAGCTCTTTGCCGCCATTTTCCCACAATCACTTGTATTCTCTTTCTGCTTTCATTTTCCGTTCTATTTCATTATATATTTCAAACTTTCAAGTGTTTTACCTCATTTCATTACTTTCCCGCCATATTTGCTTTCTTTTAAAAGTAATAATAATAATTAGTAGGTTTTTCGGGTTCAAATTCATCCCAATGCATGAAAAAATTATGACAATCTTGAACTTGTAGAATGATAATTGAATGCATGAACTCATTGATTATTCTTAGAGTATAATATCTTACTTCACTGGTGTAAGATTTCCTTATATCAAGAAAGATCAAAAGGTCAATAATTTAATTCTTGAGAGCGATACTTGTTGGAGAAACAATTATATATTCTGAAAGTGATTAGTTCATTGCCCAAAAGATGAGGAGATTCTCTTGATATTACAGAAAAAATATAATATCTATAACTAGAACATCATCTGTTAAAAGTCAATTATAATTAAATATAAATAGTGAATAATATTATTCACCATTCTTTTTGTATACAAATTGAGTAATGACAAGAAAATAATAATTTTATAATTTATAAGATAATTTATAGACTAATTTGCTATGTTTATTCATGCAAATTATATTACTACAAGTGACATTATCTTTAATATTTAATATTATATGACATTATATTGGGTATATAATTACATTTTTAATTAGCCAATTGTTTCTATTATAGAATAAATTATTTCCTTAATGACATAATTTATTATTGACACATGTCTTATACTTCATCATCTTCGTATTATATATCTCACGTGTTTTTTTCCATTTAAAACATGATGTGGACTAGAGGGAGGTGGAAAGAATTAGAATGTTTGATGATGAAAGAGGGAAGAGCCTCTTACCTTATTTCTCTCGAATGTCCTATTTTAAGCAATATATGTTGTTTTCTGACATCTCTGTTGGAAGCTCCTAATTTCATGGAACGTTTTCCTATCCCTGTCTCTCTTTCTCTCTCAAACAACCTTTTTTCTCTATTCTCAACATTAACCATACTTCAACTCCATTTTTTCTTTTTCCAATCCTTTCCCAAAACCTTGCATTCCCAACACAACAACAAACCCATCTTCCATCCTCACATTGGGTTTATCAACAAACTAACAGGTACCTTTTTTAGAATATTATTGGTTTTATCTGTACCTTAAGAGTTAAGGCCAAAAGTTCCAATTTTGATTTAATTATATGGCACCCTTTGTTCCTTTTGGTTTAATACTTTAATTGTATTGTTATTTTGATAAATGGGTTTCTTTTTGTTTCTCTTGGTTCACTTTACATGTTGTTGATCACGTGCATGTTCTTGCAGAGTTGAAATTTTTAAGCAACTTTATGGAACTAAGTTGCAAGTTCATTTTCATGATGATTTATGCAAGGAATAACTTGTGATCATGGTGATATTATTGGCTGCTGTAAACCTTCATCTTATGATTGTTGATGGAAGTTATCCGTATTTTCAATGTCGGGAAAACATGATTATCCAAGTTTCTCTGCTGATTCTATATTTGTTTGTTAGAGGGATTTAATAATTATGTCACCTTCAGAATGTGGTTGTTAAGAAAGGCGTACATGGCATATGAGAACTTGTACCAAGTTTTAAGCTTTGAAATATCTTTGTCTAAGATAAGTGTGACAGGATAAAGGATTTACCAATTACCTGTATGAATTTGTGACTCGAACCGCCGAACAGTGAATTACATTTAGAGAAAACATAAGCACCAGTTACATGTTAGTGGACATGCTATAGTACAAAAGGTGGTTTAGAAGAGCTCATTATATGATCTTCCACCATGAGTAATGAGAATGAAGCTCCTGGCATTTCAGGCGACCAGTGTAATGATGCATTAAGTTTTGATTCAGGTGACAGAATCTCTTCTGATAATGATGTAGACAATATATGTCTGCAGACAGGTGAGGAATTTTCTGCCGAATTCTTACGCGATCGGGTTGGCTCAAGAAGATTTCCTGTCACACCTGATGCAGACCAGCGCCTTCCAAATAGAATAGATTTTAATACTAATAATAACTATCAACTGGTTTACGAGGATCTAAATCATGTTCTTGGGTTAAGGCGAATGGATTCTGATGGTAACTCGGATTTGTCAGAGTTTGGTTTAGCCAGATATGTTGCTGAAGTTGACAATGGGGCTTATCATAACAATTTGAGTGGGTACCAGTGTGAAAATGTTGGTATTAGGCAAGTATCAGGTGCATTTTCAAGGCAAGTGTCGGGTAAATTTTCTGACGGAATTTGTTGTGATCGAGCTACTTCAGGACTTACTGCTCCGCCTGTTTATGTCTTTGACTCTCCTCAATCATGCCATCCTTATGGATCACAATTTTCAGAAGGTGCTTTCTATAAAAAGATAAAGTTTCTTTGTAGTTTTGGAGGAAGAATACTACCGAGGCCAAATGATGGGAAGCTCAGATATCTGGGTGGAGAGACGCGGATTATATCCATCAGAAAGAACATCACATGGGAGGAACTTATGAGGAAAACTTCTGCAATTTGCAATCAAGGTCACATTATCAAATACCAACTTCCCGGCGAGGATCTTGATGCTCTTATTTCAGTTTGTTCTAATGAGGATCTTCATCATATGATCGAAGAGTATGAAGAGCTTGAAAAAGCCGGTGGCACTCAACGACTTCGTATTTTTCTCATACCTTCAAATGAACCTGAGAGTCCAAATTCGAATGAAGCAAGAGTCAATCAGCCAAGTGATGCTGATTATCATTATGTTGTTGCTGTTAATGGTATGTTCGATCCAAGTCCACGAATGAACAGTGGACAGAGTTTGGCAAGCCATTCAAGCCAATTTGGAAATAGCCCAGAGTACAGTCCAAGTTTCCGTAGGGATTCACCTACGGCTGCATTTGCTTTAGAGATGAAGGATTGCAATCCAACCTCCACAAATTTAGCAAGCATACTCTCAAAACCCGGTCCTCATCTTTTGAGTGCACTACAGATACCAGGCAGATCATTTAATCAAACACCTCATTTATCTCCCATTCCTAAAGATCCTAAAATTTCTAATATAAGGCTTTACCATCAACCATATAATGCTGTTAATGAAAGCATCACTCCGTTCGCTATGGAAAAAGTTCCAAGTGACAACTCTTTGTATGTAGACAATACCAATTATGTTGATCCAATTGCATATTATAACAATATTGGCCAAGGGTCTCCATGTGTGAATTACCATCCTAGTAACCAATATTTCATGGAGGCTGACCAGTTCAAGAAGCCTGATGATGATTTTCATATTCATATACGAAACCACGGTAAAGGTTTGGTCTCTTCTGCAACATGCGGTCAAAATAATATGATGTTTGAGAGACCTTTAGTTACCAACGAAGGTTCGTATCAATTTGAGAAGGTTGTGTCTCATCCGCGTGATTCAACTAGTCTATTCCCAGTTTCTAATGATAGAGAGGGATCTCAGTATAGAAGGTTGCATTCACCTTCTGGCTCACCACTTCAGGAGATTGTTGAGAAATCTCAAGTTCACTTGCAGTCCCCCCACAGAGTAGAGAGAGACAAATTGTTGGAAACTTCAAATTCTTCGGAACAATGTCCAATACTGCCCGGAGAGACAATTGATTGGAAAGAACAAGTGGCTATCTATCAAAATTTCCCCGCTTTTGGAATGGCAGATAGTTGCAAAGGAGCATCAAATATTGGTAAAGAGAAATTTCAAAATACAGATAAAAACAACGATTGGTTTGATGAAAACGCTGAATCTATGTCACGAAAATGTTCCATAGATATAAAACATTCACAGTGCATGAACTACCAACATGGTGTTTCCTCATCTTCACCAGATTTACAAAGCAGTGAATGCGATGTATCTGCTGCACCATTTAGCTCTTTAGAATCCGCGAGAAACCCAAGGGAGCAACCACATGGTCTGCCATTAGAAATAACTGCTTCTGAGTTTTCCATGAGGAGCCAAATGTCATCAATGAATCACCAATATGCTATGTCTGAAACAAAAGATGATCAACCATTTCCTCTTGGCTCTTACGAATTACAACATATTGAGTCCCAAACTAAGAATGAGTCCATTCTGCCCATCTCTGTATGTATATCTCTTTTGAATTTATCGAATCTACTCTGAGCTTGCATATAATAAATAAGTGATTTCATATTGTAATTCAGTATATGGGCATTTCTTCCATGGGAGAGGTTATTATCCCTGATGAGGGTCCTGCATGTTATCTGCATCACAAGAAGGAAAACACGGCCGATAAGCAACAATCATCTACGAGCATCGATGAATTTTATGTCAATAAGCCAGAAACAGTAGCTGTTCTGAAGGGGTCAAATGATTGCACTTCTTCAGGTACCCAGTCATGCTCACAAGTTGTCTCAAATTCACATGAAGAGATTGAAGTTGGACCTACATCTTCTGGAAAGGAAGAGATGGAGAGTGTTAGTCCAGAATCTGAAAACGAGGTGAGAAATCTGTACATGACTTTATGCTTATGGTTCATCATAACTGATTGTATAATTGACGTATGGTTCGTGTCTGCAATGATAGCATGCAAAAGCTGGTAGTGGAAACTTTAATAAACCTGATGATGATACAGCAACAGCTGAAACAGAAGCTGAGATTTTTGGTTTACAGGTATGAGCTACTGCAATTTGGTCTGTTGATGCATATTATTGTGGGTTTTAAATATTATCATGAATGCTCTAATTCCATTTAATATTACTTGGTTCGTAATAAAAAAAAGATATATTGTTTTCCCTCTAGTTTTGATGAAATGGTATTCTGAGTTTGCTAACTAATTTTGTAACTTGATATTGGCGATATATGATGATTAATTCCACCTATAATCTAACATTTCCTTTCATCTTTTTATCATTTTTATTTTTAATTTACCCTTATTTAAGTTGCTTTTGTCTTTTAATAATAGGTGGATCAAAAGCAACTTGTATCTATGTTTAACGTAACACTTGAAAAAATGCAGATTATTGAGAATGCTGATGTTGAAGAACTGCAAGAGTTAGGATCTGGAACCTTTGGAACTGTTTATCACGGAAAATGGAGGGGAACAGATGTTGCAATTAAGAGAATAAAAAGTAGTTGCTTCTCTGGTAGATTATCAGAGCAAGAGCGATTGGTAAGTCTCCATAAATTGTTAATAAGCCGAGTTTGCCATTATCCTTTATTTATACTTTTCCTCTCATGCACTTGTAATAAAAATCATGTATAGAAAAG